GTAGAGGATAGCCAAAAATAAAACCACCAAAATGAACTTTAAAAATTTTGTTCTAGATTCCTATATGCACTCTTTCTTACGAAAAATGAGTTACATCCATGTTTTGCGTGTTTCCAGAGAAGAACTTCTAACCAGTACTTTAAAATACAGCTATTATAATTCTACCGTAATTTAGAATTAGACTGAGCTGAAGTTTATCTCTAGTCAGTTGCTAAAACTGCAGGTGGGATGTTTAAACTACTTAAGAAAACACCTTTCAAATACCTAAAATACTTCAGGGTGATCTATTTATATGGTAGTTTTAAAGAATCATATCTATCTGTTAAAGTAGATTTTCTAGAGACCTTGTGGTATTATTGGTCTAGTTTCAGCTACTTCAAATAATTAAACAGAATTTTATTAAAGTAGTCTAAGACAGACTTTTCACTAATTACGACTATCTTTCTTCACCATTAATGAAGTTTTCCTGTAGACTCTCTACAGCATTGATGATATGCTTATTCACGTCAAGGCTTTTAAAAATGTTTTAAAATTATCTTTCACTTGGAAAATCATATAAAATTTTAATTTCTTAATTGTATCATTGATAGTGAAGCCTCAGTTAAGCATACAGACTATTTTATTTATTCATAAATGTTGGCATTAATTTTTTAACGTGATTTCTTTCTTGTCTCTTTTTTTGTAGATTTTAACACAGAAGACACGTGTATGGACCATGGAATGCAATCACGTTCTGTAGCTTTCTCTTCATGACATTATGATTTTTAACACGCCCTCCACATTGTGAAGTCAGCAAGGATTTACAAAGACTTCTGAGGGTGTAGGATGGCATTTGGGAATCTGCTCCATAGTGTGACTTTCACCCCTGAAACTTGCCTCCATCAGTGGAATAATCCAGCAGCACGCCTTCCTTCCGGCAGATGGGCCGATGACAAGAGGTCATGTTGTTTTCACTACCTATGCGTCCCCAGTATTGCAGGAATCTGAATGCAAGCACATATTATCCATCAGAATGATTAATTAGAAGACCTCTATCTAAAACAAGTTGAATAACAACTTCTTCCACACATACGTTCCTTGCATTGGGGCCAATTTGTTAATGTTGTGATAAAAAATACCAAAAAACTGACTTACTTTGCACCTCTGAGATCCAAATCTTGAGTGATAGCTTGTCTCACAGTGGACCCCCCAAAATAGAGTGCAGTGTCCTCGGCAAGAATTCCACACTCGGTACAAGTATTTCCTCCTTCTAAGGACATCCATAAGTCAGGCTTGATCTCTTCACTGTCAAAGCGTTCCTTAAGGAAAGTCTGGAAAAAATAAGTAGGATATGGTGAAAAATAACAATTCCAGACAATAATTAGGGAGTATTTAAGATAATACAGAGTTACAACCTGAACTTTAAAAAAAATTGGAGTTGATTTCAAATGTTTTTCCACAGATATTTAAAAACAACAACAGAATATTTTCATTTTCTATTCATTTTGTCCATAATAGAGTTCTGCATGGGGTTGAGGCACAGGATTTTTTTTTTTTTGTTGAAACAATGGCACTGTATCCTGAGAACAATTTGTTACAGTTGCAATTGCAGTAACTTTACTTGGATGTGTGTAAACTCACTATACTTTTTCACTTTTTTAGGAGATTTGTTTAGTTGCTACCTTTTCATGGTAGTTAAAATTATTTAGATAAACCCTTTTTTCCCTGAACTTAGAACAAAATCAACTCTATATTTAAAGATGGGTAGTCATGTGCCAACATTACTTTACCTCACTGATACCCAAAAACCCAAACCCGTTGCTGTCGAGTCGATTCCGACTCATGATAGTTATCAAATAATAACAATTTTAAAAAAAGGTTTCCGTGTAAAAACAAGAATCAGAAGAAATGCACAGTTAACCATGTAAATTCTCATGAGAAAGGTTTGAATAAAAGCTTATATTACAGATTTGTACGTTTCTTTTCCAACTTAAAAATGATAATAAAATTTTAGTGTACATGAATAAAACTAGACTTTTTTTTTTTAGTTTATTCATTACCTGTAGTATATGAAGCTGTGTTTCTCATGGGATAATCTCATTTGATAACAAATGGGCTAACATCTTCAGACACAAGTGAGCATTGCCTCAATATTTAATTGTTGTATTTATCAAACCCAAAGTTGTTGATGTATTGTAGAAACAAAAATGACAGAATAGACTTTGCTTGAATTATATGGCTCTCATATATTAGATTTCAATAATTTGTGTTTTTTAGTTTAGTCATTTATCCATTATAATGATAAAGGCACTATATTTATTCTCAGAAACAGAATGCACATATGGAAACTGTGTTGGGCAACTGTATTTGTTTTGTATATTAAATAATTAATGTAACAGTTAAAGTTTCCAAGAATGGCCTTTCTAATCTTAATATGCAATCATATTTCAGCAGTTAGCCAATCAGGGCACGAAATTTTCTGAACAAAAATTCAGGTACTGTTTGGGTCTTTTTGAAAAATTGGTCTGTTGTGATAATTTATCTATAATAACCACAATAGTACCCTCCTTCAAACAATGCATCTCTTGAAAAAGTAAAAAAGGCTTAATATTGACTTTAAATTGGGCTGTTAAAAAAAAAAAAAAGCAAAGTATTTGTGTTTTTAATCCATGCAGTTTATGATTTGGGTGAATTGTACTAGAACTTGATTCTAATATTCTTGTAGATAAGAAACCTAAGTCACATATTCTTAGTCTCCATCCAAAGGACATATTTACTAGGGACCCAAAGGACATTGTTAAAGATTCCTGCTCTCCCACATAAACTGATTCCTAAGGCAGGGCCTACAAAGCAAGTCAGTGTTTCTAGCAGAGGCATTTACATTACCTTCAGGGTGTGAGTCAAATAGCAGTTGGGGCCAGAGTATCCTGGGTCGCAGATGCACTGCTCCTTTAAGCAGTCTCCATGGCCCCTGCAGTTGTCCAGGCATCCAGGGCCCAGGTAGAAATTATCGATTGCCCACTGCATATCTGAGTACTTCTGATAGAACCTAAACCTTACTGGACTATTCACATCACAAAAGAAAAGGAGTGAAAAACAAAAGTTAACTCTATTCAGGTCTTTTTTCCTGCATGTGTATTTAGTACTCAAGAGAAAAAAGATTTAAGACACTCTTACAAGATGAAATGGGTTAATAAAAAAATGTTTTCTGGCTGCCATTTCATTCTCTTTCTACTTCTAGTAATGGAATTTAAAGGCTGGTTTCATTTAGCTTTTATAATATCTCAGAAAATTTGCAAAACAAAATGAAAATACAATGGAATCTCTATTTCAAACAACAAAAACATTTAAAAATACACCCACTCCTCACTTACCAACATGGTTAGGTTCCAAAGACCAGGTGGTCATGTGAAAATCAGCATTATGCAAAAATGGAGGATGACCACATCAGATCACAAAATGGAAGATGACTACATCATTACACAACTGTCAAATCATTGAGAATCATGGCCCAGCCAAGTTGACACATAACTTTAACCATCACAGCCAGCTAACTCTTGCCTTGCACCTTGGCATTTGTTACTGCCAGACGTATGTTGTTAATATGCAAAATAGTCGGATAGCAGATTTTTTACTATTGTTGTAAATGCCAAGTGTCAGATAATGAGGTACTCGCTAAGTGAGGAGTAGGCGTACAACTTTGTAACTATCATAAGTCAGGTTTCTTATGAACTGGAGTCAGTGGTTCTGACACACTTGAGATTCATTAATTGCATTTCTGAAATTGTGCAGAAGACGACTGAATCCTCCGACAGAACTTTGTCAGTATACGCACAGCCCTCAGGCAATTGGGGAACAGCAACCTCTGAGTTCCTCGAAGATAATCAATATTCTCAGAGCAACTATGCTAATTAGAAAACAATTTTGAAAGAGTTGTATTAAAGGACAATTTCCCTGAGATTTTAATTTCACTGTTGTTCTTCTCTGTCTTCTGGAGGAAACCAGCCTCATAATTAACCCTATATTAAAATATGCCATGGTATTTTGGTGTAAAGAGTTCAAAGTGCATGAGAGAAGTTTCTGGGGTAAAATAAATATTCTGTATCTTCTTCTGTGTGGTGGTTACAAGGGTTACACAATGGTAAAAACCCACTGAGCTGAACATTTAAGATCTGTGTATTTTCTGTGTGTAAATTATACCTCATTATTAAAAAAGAGAGAATGGGAGGGGAGAAGTTAGCCTACGACTGATGTTTGTGGAGGCTGTCAAGCATCTATTTTATCCCAGATGATTCCTGTGAGATAATCACTCTACTAGAACCTCACTAAGTATTGACTGGCTTAGGAATGGGCATTCTTCAGCTTATTTTGACCAATAAGATGCAAGGAGGTACTTGCTATGGCTCTCTTAGGAAGAAAAGCAACTCTTTTTCTCCTCCATTGAACATGGGTGAGAAAGCATTTTGAACCAGTTTCCTGGCAGCCATCTTGTGTTCATTAGGGAACCAGCCCTAAGGCTGAGTGTGGTACCACTGCTGTGGATAGTGGAGTAAAGTATAAGAGAATAAGAAAGAACAATGTTCTTGAAGACATTGTTGAGCCTGAAAACCAATCAATCCTAGAATCCACTTATCTCTGGAATTTTCATTATAGATATTATAAATTTCATTTTTATTTGAGCCAGTTTGAGTTGAGTTTTCTGTTAGATGAAGCTGAAAGCATACTGACTTAGTTTCCTAGCATAGTAATTGGATAAACTCTTTAAATTCATCCCAAAGAATTGTGAGTGTTCTGTAGTAAATGATATTTATGGGAGTATTGGAAAAGCTACATATAAACACCTTATCTGAAGGCTCCATGTATTCTGGTCATATATCATATTCTATTTCACAAGACGTTTCCTCATTTAGCTGGATTATATGATTAATACAGCAGGGGTGAACCTGCCATTTTCTTTAATGTATCTCTTTTCCTAATTTTACAGTAGAAGGGAAATTTTAAGCTTTTGGAATTGCCTACAGTTAACATATCCTCAGACTTTCCAGAGAACAGTTTAATCACTTTGGCTCACAATTGCTCTTGCCTAATTACTTTGCTCTGCAGGTATAGAACATAACACTTTGATAAGAGAAAAATGAAACCTCCAAACCACATTTGTACAAGCAGCATGAAGAGTTAGGATTTGTGCAAGTAGCATGATGAGTTAAGACTTCCTCCTGGCTCTGTACATCATGGATTCACAAGGCAGTAATGTGGAAAGCATATGATGCATGGTGGGCCACAGTGTGCAAGGTGATAAGGTAGGGTACACCTTTTCTTCTGGCTCCAAAGCCATCACTATTGGTCTGCTCCGTTTGAAGATATTGAGGCATGCAAACTGAAAGGGCCGTTTTTTCAGTTTAGAGAATTACAACCTGAGGTCTTCTGAAGTTAGTTCACCATGCAGGTTACCAGTTAGAGGATCTTTAGAGTTTGGGAGGAAGGAAGCACTTTCCTCACAATTACACATAATTTCAAGCTTGACAACAGGGTTCCTAATCTACTTCTGGCTGCTTGGAACCAGGCTTTATTTTAATTTTTTACTTACTTTCCCACTAAGCTTTCAGGAAGTGGGTAGGTGATCCTTTTCCAGGTGTTAGTTGGAAAGAATACAGACGGCTGAGAAACACTTCCAGAACATTTTGGGTCAGCAGGCAAGCACTGAGGGACCAGATAATTCCAGCTCACACCAAAGTCGGTAGAATACTGCACATGAATTTGATTTTGGGCAATTTTTTCAGACACTTTGCATCCAACGGAGATCTAATAAACATAGAAAAGCAAGATTGTTAAGGTATTAAAATGTTAAAAAATTAAAGCCATATTACATATTTCTGCTCTAAGTACTTGGCAGCAACAAAGTTGATCACTAGGTGTACACTGCACCACATTGCTGCCGTATGTCCAGGTTCATTATTTGTTCTGCTGATGGACAGGGAGAGTTGACACGGTTGCCCAAAACAACAGATTATAGAAAGTGCCAAATATATTGTGCAGTGGGTTTGGAGAGAAGCTGAAATCTGCGCTTCTGCCATGCCTGGCTGATTGCCTTGGAAGGCCTGGGCCCACTGTTACAAATTGCTTCTGTTGTGTTAATGGTCTGGCACTTCTTTTTGGCAGAATGCTTGACCAAGAAGGATGGCTAACAGCTTTACCAATTTTGCTATCTTGTCGTACAATTTATAACTCTCAATAAATCACCTTCAACTACAACTGAAACGCAATGAAGTGATAACGGAAGGTACTTTTAATAGAGCCCAGTACCCTTTGTTGATGGGAGATAGACTTAATGTGATGTTTGTTGCTAATACCGTGAAATTTAGGTAGACAGGATAAATTGGCTGACATTTAATCTTGGCCAAAAAAGGAAGGTGATGTTGGCATTAATGCTAAGCATGTTTTTCTTTTCTATAATTTTCTTCCTCCATAAACATTAAAATGCTCTTCTAAAAAAAGTAGATACAGCTATTATGGTTTTAATCTTTTCTTTAATAGAAAATTTGCCTAAGTTATATTATGATGTAACTGAGGGAGTTGGGATCACTATCCTATATTTTTATCAATATTTTGATCTAATCAGTATTTAATCCTGAGTGGAAACATTTACTCATATGAACGTTTCATCTAGAAATAGCTTAAAAAGGAAATACGTTTAATTATTCAGTCATAAATAGCTGAGTTATATATTACCTTAATATTAGATTTTATTTTTCGAAGTACATATTAAGTCAATGAAATTTTAGATAGTCTTTTTCATTACAATTTTTTTCTCATTTCCTATATTGCTAATGTGTTGTTATTAATGTAATGTAGACCATAACGCTTTCACCTTGAATTGCATAATCCAGCCTTCAGTGGGAGTCAGGTCATGGGTCACTGCATACACTTCTCTGCCATCATGACTGCCACAAATCATGACACCATCAGGGGAGTCACAGAATCTTTCTACTGTACAATCATCATGGAATAGCCAATGCTCATTTACTTAAAAAAAAAAAAAAAAGACAAAAAATTCATGACAAATAAAAATACTTGAATCAAATTTTCACTTTAGGCAAAATCTAGACTTATTTTAAGTAGAAATCTCTCTTATATTACATATAACCCACAGACAAAACAGTAGTGCAAACACATAGTTTTATGAATATGGATACTGGAAGTACTGAGCTAGACCTACTACGTGGTACTTTCAAGTCTACACTTAGGGAAAAAGCATTTGTATTGCATGTGTTGTAAGTAAAAATCAGAGGGAAATGTATAGCTAAATTTTTGACAGATATTTAACTTGTTAAGCAAGATCTAAAGAAGGAGAAAAAAATTTTAGTAACATGACAGAGAAGGTGAGTTAGCAATTTCTACTCAAATTCTGGTAGTATTACCTGGGTAATTATAAAACTTACAATGAAATTTTTATTCTGCCTCTTTAATTAGACACACAAATGATTTTGGGGGCCCAGAAATGAGTTGAGAAAAATTAAAGATTTGAATTGTGCTATTTGTTATAAAGAATAATTTTAAGTGTTGAAATGTAAAGTCATACTTAATTTGGCAAAAATGAAAATAAAGTATTATAAAGAGATTATCTCAGAAACTAGGATTATCTCTAAAATAAAACAGTTATAAATTTACCGTGGTAATTTTCTTAAGATTTGATTATTTAGGGATGGATATTTAAATATTTTGGGTAGATTTCTTTTTTTAATAAATCTTGTCTCCTCTTTTAAGCCAGATCAACAATTACTCTTTGAGGAAATGTACTCAGTTAATAAAAAAATTACTGAAATAATAGATTTGGAAGAGTGTAAGGAAAACCTAGGCAGCAAGATTGTGAATCAAGGACAGAGTAAGTAAGACATTGGGGGTTCCTGGGTGGTACATATGGTTATTGCGCTCGGCTGCTAACCAAAAGGATGGAGGTTCGAGTCCACCCAGAGGTGCTTCGACAGAAAGGCCTGGTGATCTACTTCTGAAAAATCAGCCATTGAAAACCCTATGAAGTACAGTTCTACTCTGACACAGATGGCGTTGCCATGAGTTGGAAATGACTTAAGGGCAACTGGTTTTGGTTGTTTAAGTAAGACTGTGAATTGATTAGTACAAAGTAAGTCCTGTGTGTTGAGCTTGTTTCTCTCTCTTTCCTCCCTTCTCCTCCCCTTCCTCTTTCTCACTTTCTCATGTCCCCTACAATTCCCTTTCTTTTCTGAAAGATGTATTTTTACATCATGATTTTATTCTAGAAAGTTTAGAAATTAATCCATAAATTGCATCTAATTCATGAGGTACTGTTTTTCTTTGGGGGGGGGTATTCAACTATGACCTTTAATGAAATGCTTGAAAATACCTGATTAATGAATTAAAAGGAGAAAATGATCTGAAGGAATGAGTCTTTTTTAAAATCTCCTATTTTTAAATCTTCCCAGTCGTCTATGTTTTTACTGATAGTTGGTAAATATAA